ATGCATCATCTTTTTTTATATTTAACAGTGAGAATAGTAGGACTAGGGGCCACAAATGTAAATTTTGGCAGGGTAGGAGTCATCTTTAGCTAAGACAGTTTCATTTTACTAACAGGGTGGTTGACTTTTGGAATGGGTTGCCTTCAGATGTTGTAGAGGCAGTAAATTTAAGTGAGTTTAAGAAAAAGCTTGATAAGTATATGAATGGAAAGGACTGGCTTTAAGATTTAATTATTTTAATTTAGTTTAAAGGAAGGAATAGCCGAGATCGACCAATAGGTCCCATGTTGTCCCAAAAAATTATGTTATGATAAATGAATATCAAATTTTCATTATTTTTGTGAAACTTATACCTTCTACACCCTACCACCATCTATAGAGAAATCATCAATGTATAATGAAATGAAAAGTTACAAATGTGAAATAAAATGAGTACTATCAACTATTAATATTTTTCAGATCTGCAGTAATTCACAATGAGAGCCTATTCACTATTTCCTGTACAGTTAATGCAAACAGCACATGATTTAGTGTCATGTTTCACACTGGTGCTCCAGCTATCATAATTTTAGACAATTTTGTTAGTTGAGAAGTTTATAATTCTTATGTTTTAGTTACTTTTGTTGAAAGAAATGTATAACAGTAAAATAATCACTATACATAAAAAAAACAAGGATTTTTAGTACTTACTGCATACTCGAGCATTTTTAACTCCAGTAAAAATATTTGATGTTCTCCCCTAAGTGTCATGAAATTCCACAAATTTGGGTGTTCAAAAAAAAAAAGTATGTAACTTTCAAACATGCATTTTAGAACACGAAAAATATTTTGGACGCTACAGAATAAAATGTCCCAATTCTACTATCATTTATCTGGCTTTCTAAGTTAGTATAAATAGGTTAAAAAAGTTGTTTCTGTTCAGAGCACTAAGCCTGATCAACACAAATACACCAATTCTCATTGACTTGTGGCTGACGGTGAGAACACTTGACTATAAAATTGAAAGAGTTGCATAGAGAAGAATCTACTCTTTTTATTGTTTTTAGACATGTCCATGAGCCGTATAAAGTTGGTTAGCAAACAATCCAGAAAGTCAGAGGGAGAGGAGAGGGTCTCTCTGTTGGGTTTGATAAATTAATTGATGTCTCATCAATAAAGGTGGGAGGTTCAAATTTTAGGTTAGTACTTATAATTATTTATAATTTGTGTTTCTGATTGGCTGGACACTGCAGCAGCCTATCTTAAAAGTTAGTGGAGAAATTGGACACATCACATGACACAGAAAAATGAAGTTTGAGATTTTTTTTATATTTCTTTTTGAAATTAGGTATTAGAATTTAGGTCATATAAAAAATTTTAATTAAAGACAATGTTTTCATGCCCTTTTATTGATATCCATTGATTAATTAAATTTTGAATGTAACATTGTTTGTTACTCTTTGTTTTGTAATTATTCATTCAGTAAGTGAAAGATTTCTTCATGGTACAACAATAAAAACAAAAGAAGATTACACTAGTTTCAGAATTAAATGGAAACAGCTTTGAATAATAAGTTGTAAGTGAAAAAAATGGTAATGGGTTGTTGTCAATTTTTGACTTAAAATTTTTGGTAAACTTGTTTGGGTTTTAAATATAGATTAGCATATTTTTCTTCCTAATCTGTTTTTTTATGAATTATTTAAAGCCATATTTGCACTTTTCTTTTTTTCAAGGTGGTTTGGTTAACTAATAATGTGGTGTTTACTTAATACCAATAACAAGCCAACAACAGTATTTACAGAGGAAGTCAACTGAAATGGAATATTCTTTTGAAAAATAAGAAATGAATTGTCATTACAAACCTTTTCTTAATGTTGTATCTTGTTCAATGATCTTTTTTTTGGGGGGGTACAACCAAAATCATGTGAAGGTAGGTCTTTTTCTTCCAACTTGACATAAAAAATGTATAGAAATTAAACAAAGAATAATAATTGAATGTTTTACATTTAGAAGTCAACATATGCTTATCCATGACACCAGGATGAAGATAATTTGTGATATTAAAGGTTGTGAAAAAACCTATGACACTGAATGTTCTTTGAAGAGACACAAAGAGAATCATCATCATTACATAAATAAAACAGTTGTTGTGAAACAGAATAACAGAACTGGAAGAAAAAGGACCTACCCTTCATATCAGCTTGTATCAAACTCTGTCATTAGTTCAGAATCATCAGAAGTGGGTTCTTATGGTAATCAGGAGAAAAGTGTTAACAATAGTGGAGGGCAAATAGATTCTAGACTAGCCCCCATTTCAGTTATGGGTGTGTCTTTACTTCAGAATGTTAGATGTCCAAGTCCTAAACTAATAAGCCTGACAGAAAAATGTATTTCTAGGTCTCGTCAGAATGGAGGTGACACTGTATTAAGTGATATAAATGATAAAGAACATGGTATCTTGGAGGAAGAGGGGTATAATGTTCCAACTGCAACTTCGTTAACAAGTTGTGATGCTCTTGTTCCTGTATCGACTATACAAGTTCCAGATTCTACTTCAAGCACTACTTTCAGTTTATTATCTGGCAAGATAGGCCATGAAACATTAGAAACAAATCAAAAATTGCATCTTTCACCTCGGACCTCTGGCTATGGTGTTAGTTCTTCAAATCGTGATGACAATGAAGATGGAGTTGGTGGTTCTGGAGAGCCACTGGGTAAGCATATTATTTCAAATTTAGATACATTTTAAAAATAATTTTGTTTTATTTTCAGTAATAAATAAGTTTGCATATCATAAATATTTAAGGGAGATGTACAATCTTGTGATGATATTATGTTCGTTTGAAAATAGTCTAAAGGTTTAATTCTCAATATATATTGAAAAAACAAGTGTATATTTCATGGTGTATTGATTTTGTTAATTGTATACATATAATTTCATGGACAAATGTCATTGTGATGATGATTATCTTTCAGGAAGTCTCAACCAACCAGCATATACTAAAATAATTAAACTGAAATCTCGATCATCTCTAAATCGTCTTTATAAACAACCATATATAGTTTGTAACAAAGGGTCTGCTGATTCCAGTGCACTCGCAAAATACAAGCTCATTCCCATTGATGAAAGAAAGTTTGTCTGTCACGTGTGCCATAGGGCTTTTATACAACATAATCATTTGTGAGTATGCATAAAAATTCTCAAATAATTACTTTTTTCCATTGTCATCAGTATGTGAGGACACCATTAAATCATACTTTCTGTATGTGATTGATTCAGTAAAAATGATGTGATAGGGTAGATTTTATCACTTAAGTAGGTGTCCCTACCTTCTAAATTTGTGAAATATTATCTCCCCTAGAGATTGCCTATTTGTGGTTATGTTGACAATCACTACATAAATTCTTAACATATATGACATTTGGCCAGTTTTCTTCATTAGATGTGTAACTGCTTTGATACAAAAGGGAAGAATTAAAGTTAAAAACTTTGTAATAATTTATATTTAAGCCATATGAAATTTCTAAGATAATAGAGTAAGTTCTTTAAGATGTCCAGATGCGTTATATTGACACACCTTTTGTGTGGTTTATTTTATTGCATTGCAAAAAACAAACAAACTTCAAGATGAAATACCTTGAAACTTGAGATGAATTTTCCACAGGTTGTGAAGCCCCTGCAAATATAATATTTTTATATGTGATATTTATATGAATTCCTATCTTTCTATCTAAGTTTCATTGTGATTTTTTCTTTAAAAAGCTGTTAACAATGCTTAACTTTGTTGTAGATTTCAATTAATTTTTATCTAATCCTACATTTTTGGAAAACTTTTCTAAACTTTTTATATTATAAAACCTTAAATTTGAACTTTGTTTGGATTTGAAAAATACCACACACAGTTTCACTGTGTTTGGTGTCACTGCCATATGATAAAAATAACTTTTTTTTACCATACTAAAATTTATAAGCAAACCAACTTTTTTTTAAATTGTTAATCAGATGGTTTCATTGAGAATATATAATAAGTTTTAAACTCATTTTATATTAATTTGTTTTTTTTTTTTACATTCCTATTTGGTGATTTTCTTTGCCAATTTGTGTAGCCATTTAGGCTAATAAGCCCTAATGTAAACACAACCTAACTAACAGCAACCTTGTCAGTGAAACAGTACTTGAATTGGTTATATGTAAAATTACATAACTAAACCTACCTCATACTGTTCCATGAAAAACACTTGTTTTATTTGATACTACAAGATCATAATAAAAGGGATGTATGAAATGATAAAACAAGTTTTTGCAGTCTTTAAAAAATATTGACTTATTAACAAACATCTTTTCTTCTGATAACATATCAAGCTAAGCTTTTATCAGTTTGTTCTAAATCTGTGCAAATCTTTTATGAACTGGAAAATATAATGGCTTATACAGTTAAAAATAAAAATGTTTTCATTATGTGAAAACTGAAATTGAGAAACAGTGATTGGTTAAAATCAATAAAACTACACTTGAAGTTAAAAGGTTCAGTTAGTGATATAAATCAAAAACTGTTTTGACCTTTTTCAAAAGGAGTGATGGGTTAAGAGTGGTGTTTTATCTATAGAAAACTTTTATCATTCAAAACAAGTTGAAATCAACCTACAATTAAAAGGTTTGATTTGAAATATTTTTGTGTAAAGTTAAATAAATAACTTTTTTTTTTATTACATAAATTTTGATCTGAAGTATTTTTTAAATAATTTGCTGGAAAATGGCTAAAAGTTATTATAAAATTCTTTAATTCAATGATGCAATTTCCTTAAGGACATGATGAAATCATCCAAGCACTATAGAGTTAATGCATACATCAAAATAAAATAAGTACTTAGAAAATGTAGCTATGTGAACATAATCTGAAGTGAGAAATATTAGTATGAGTTAAAAGTAATTATTTGTTTTCTTTTTGCCCAGTCTTAAAATTTATAGTGTTATAAATATTGCTAAAGGCTATGTTTTTCTGTTTGAACCTAGAAATTTAATGTTTGTAGAGAAATTCATTCATTAGTTTATTATAGAAATCACGTTACTAAATTATTTAAATATTAGTAGTAGTAGTAGTAGTTTTCTATTTTACAGAATTCATATAATCAAATGATTTTGTAAATATCTGTGTGTGGGTGTATATATGATTTTCTCTCCAGAAATTTAGAATACAAGTACATGGTATTTTGCAACACAAGTTTGTAGGCTTTTTAGAAAATAAATGAAACTACTGATAAGTTTAACATAAATTTTTGTATCAACACTTTTGTAAAATAATAGTCTCTTAACATATAGTTTACTTCTAATTTTTTGAATTTACATTTCTGTTATCAGCCATTTTATTCTTTATTGTAACAGCTGTGAGAAAGCCTTGAGAAAAGTTATCTGTTAATTGAGATTGAATTACCACTTAGGTTTTACTACTATTTACTGTAAGTTATAATTGGTTTCAGTTCAATACAAATTTTCCAGACAATCTTAAAAAGTAAAATATATGCAAAAGTTACAAAATAATGAGATAATAAAAATAACTTTTGCAATTTTTAATTAGGATCAAGCATATGTTTAGTCATCAGTACAAGAAACCATTTGCTTGTGATGCAGAAGGTTGTAAAGAAAGCTACAGGAATATTACACTTTTAAGGCAGCACAAAGAGAACTATCATAATATAAAAAGAATTATCCAAGCTCCTGATGCCGTTCCCCCTAATCCTGATGATATTTCTGCCACTTCAACTATGATTTCAGAGACCTGTGGGTTAGAAGTACAATCTTCAGTATCACAATTACAGTTGATAACATCCCACCAGGACAATTCCAAACAAATTGAAGTCCCATCAGATACTGGGAATAAATGTGATAACAGACAAAATCAGGCACAATGCAACCCTCAAACTATAAACCCTGCTGCTTTTGTCATAGCACAAGATTATGGACAGAATACTCTTTCCTCACAGAACATAAATTCAGAACAGACATTGGAAAAAAGAGAGACTTCAGAAAATGTTCCAGCTGTGATCAAAACAAGTGGACAAACAGCTTCTTTACAGCTTCCAGATCATCAGAATCAAAGTCAAGAGGGTAATTTTTCTCAACAACATCAGCAGCAACAACCAGGAATATTGAATAGTCAGGAAACTCGGCAACTGTCTCCTGTTGTATCCAAGTCTCAGGCTTCTCAGAGAAATACATCTCCTACAGTTTTAACCAGCCACTCAGTCAACACTGGTGTTGAAACAACACCCATCCCTTCAGGAGGAAGTCTTTATCCATTTCTTCGAGAGCAGACTGTTATTTCCTCGGTAATCTCCAATTTATTATCTAATAATAGTGCCACCAACTCTCTTCAAAACATACCAGCTACTCTTCAAGTTCCACATAGAAAAAAACACTATCCTCTACTAGAAGAGATGTTATCTTCCTCCCAGATTCTTGATTTAAACTACACTAATTTGATGAAAGAACTAAACCTTACCCAAAAATCATTCCATCCTCAATCTCATGGTCATCATCCAGTTGATCAAATGGCGTACTTGTTTACTCAGGTAAACTTTTGTTCTGCGTATAGAATTTCCTCTTTGTTCCTTACATGTTGGTTCCTGCTCTATAATTTAAAATACTATTAGATCACTCTAAATGTATACAGATAGACAAATAGATTTAAAATGTTTTGCTCTCTAAACTTGGGCCTTGCAAACATCCCCATGGTCCCTTTTCAGTATAGTCTTTATTTTTTTGGCTTTTTTTTTTTGTTTTGTATGGATATTTTTTGTAGCATTATTGTAGACCCATTTTATTTTTACTAAAAAATTATGAAGTTGTTACAGTGGTATATTAAACTTTTTTGTTCAATGTCTAGCTAGCTGTTGATATTCCTTTTTTTTTTTGAGTTGAGAGGTCTGAAGGTTGATGTTCACATGGCATGAACTTGAACGTAAGAGACATGTAATTAATAAAAAATGACAAAACTAAATTCAATAACGTCTTCATAGAAGATGACTTCTGGAATATTTGAGGATGCTAACAATAAAAATGCTCAGTACATGAAATTCCTTAAGTTTATTGTCAACAATAAGTTGTTTATCTCTCTTTTCATGAGTACACCTTGCTATTAACATGGAAAATACATTAGATAAAATTTTAAAACCACTTTTTTGTATTCTATGATATGGTTAATTGTTTTACAAGTTTGCTTATGTGTTCTAAGGAAATTATTAACTATCGGAGGATCATTAACTTTGTAGTTTTTAGTATATTTTTCCTAATTTCTTTTAGGAAAAGCCCTACAATCATCCAAATCATACAACGACAGACTCAGGAAACATGTGAGTAATTCTTTATTTCTGTTTTATATTTTTGAGTGTGTGTATACAGGCTTTTTTTTATATTTTTAGCCACAATACTAAATACTGTTACTCATTTTGTCATTCTGCATGGGAAAAAAAATCTCATGAAGCCTAATATAAACACACCAACACTAGAACCACTGAAGAATATATTTTATTAAATTACCATATTTTTAATTTCTTTAAATAGTAACTTGCATTTCAAATCTATAAACTGATAGTTTTATCCTGCCCATATACATAAGCACATTTGTCTATGGCATGAAGGATTATATTTGGCTTGTAAGGCCCAGTGCTTTCAAACTCAGTTTTCAAGCTGTGTTAGCAGATGATAATTGTGACACATTCTCCTTGGATGGATGCCAGTCCATCACACATTTAACCCCTAGCTAACAGCTGGTACTCATCATACTGGGTAAGTTGAAATGCTTGGGGTAAAGTGTTTTGCTCAAGGATGCAGTAGCATGATGCGGGCCAGCTTCAAACTCGCAACCATTCGACTAAGAGTCCAAAGTATAAAGCCACTTACCCACGCTACTTGCCAAAAATCAGAATATCCATTCAAACACAGAGTGGAATTTTCCAGTTTAAGGGAAATGAAAAACATGATAAAGTGGTCATTATGAGAAATCCCTGAAGACATTTTTGAAAATTTTATATTAAAGTTAAACGTTGGGTACTACTTTTGGGACCTTGTTTCACCTGTTGAATGGTAGAAAATGGCACAAGTCTTGTTACAATTATGAAGTTACATATACACTTCATGAAGTGTCACTGTGTACTATTTTTCCCCATCTACATACCATTCATACAATTTTCTGCAGATATTCTTCCTTTCCTGGATATAGGGTAGAAGCAATTTGTGTACAAGTTGGGAAATTATACTTGAGTATGTTGTGTACCCTGTTTGGGCACTTAGATGGCTTTTGCAACTTACCTTTATATTTGCGAATTCTCACCTTTTACAAGGTGGAACACTTTGCTTACTGCAGCTGGGGAAACTAGTTGTTGTAGGTTTTTTTTGGACGGTGCCAGTGGCCCAAGTTGATACACATTTCTTTGTTTTCCAATCCCATTAAGTTCAAGAGATATCCCATCTTGGAAATTCTACGTCCCCAACCTGAACCCGTTTTTATGATCTGAGTGTTTGAATACTTTTCCTTCAAAAAGGGCTGCTTACATACACTTCCCAAAAGAGATTAATTTTCTGTGGAATTACACTACCTACAAAATCCCAAACAATGTTGAAGTGTATTTCTGATATATGACATTCCACCACAACTTTATATTTGTTTGTTATGTAACTTACTAAACTGCATATTCCAACTCATTTTAATATAACCCACTGTATATTTACCACTGTTTTAAAAGATCTCTTTAGTGTGTTGATTTGAAGATACTCAGTCTTTAAAAGCCAAAAGTATATTCGTGTGAGAAATACGGAGCATATCATTTTTGAAAATGCAAAACATTACCATAAAATTTACACACTTTTTTTTAGAATTTAAAGAAATATTTCTATGTAAAGTATGTATGTATGTTTATACAGTTTTTACATGTATTTACAGAACAGAACTGAAAAGTAATATACGAATGTGTTTAAATATTTTAACAAACAACATCATATGACTCCAATTCTTAATGAACCTTCCAGACTCAACAGAATCCAGTGTACACCACTTCCTGTTAGTCAAAATCATCAGGATATCATGATTCCAAACAGTAGCAGACAATTGTTTGGCTCAGAAATAGAATCTGCAGCATCACAGTTGCAGTTTTTAGCATTTCTCTGTAGTTCATCTCAAAAAGTTGGAGTTTCATCAGACTCTGATAGACAGAATCAAGGACAATGTAACCCTCAAACCATAAATACAGCTGCCTGCTTAACTGATGAAAGGCTTATGGCAAATACTCTTCATTCAGAGGACACAACAAATTCAGAACAGGCATTAATATTACAAGAGACTACAGAAAATAATTCAAATATAATTAAGACTGTTCATGACCCAACTTTCATACAGCTTTCAAAGTATCAGAATCAACATAAAGAGGTCAGTTCTTCTGAACATCAACAACAATCAGGAATATTAAATAGCCAGGAAGTTCGACAGTTGTTTCCTGATGTATCTAGTTTTCAGGTTTCTGGAAGAAACACATCTCCTACAATTTTCAGTCATATGATCAAGACTGAAGGTGATGGTAAAACACTCACTACAATGGAGATAGACCCTTTGTCATTTCTTCAGCAACAAGATCAGACTGCTGTTCATTCTGAGAGGGCTAGTTCATTAACCACTTGTAATGAGACAAGCTTTGTCCCAAACACATTAACTGCTCCTGGAGGTCCTCTTTTAGAGAACAACACTTCAACACCAGAGGAACAACTGAATTTTCCCAATTATGTTTACTTAGCTCACAGTGGACTATCAGAAGGATTGCAGTTTACCCAAGAGGCATTTCATCCTCCTTCTTATCATAATGATCATTCATCTAACCAGGTATCGTACTTGTGGATTCAGATAAAACTTGTTTCCTTTTAATGTATATCTAAATTGATGAGTTATTTGAGAGTTGCAAACAGAAAAATTATATTGTTAGGTATTTCTTGTTCACATTCTTAAGATTTGTGGTTTTTGTCAGCATTACATATTTTGTTGAAATTCCGTTTAAAAATATTTATTTTTAACCAATTTTCTTATCAATTTATAGTAGGCCAAACTTGCCTTATATTGGATATTTCTGTAAAGAAAAATCTTTAAATCTCAGGATTTGTAGATTATTTGTTACTTTATAACTAGTAATCCTTAATTTGGCTAAATATCTTTATTTTAAACAAGATTTTGTACAATAATGTTTATTTTTGGCTATTTCTTTCCAAATCTTTTACTTCCTTGCTCATTGTTTTTGTTATACACAATGTTTTTAAATCCTAATTTGAAACAGCTTTCACAGAAATAAAAGTTTTCTTCTGTGCTTTATATCCATTTTATGGTGTATCTTTTTGAAGCATCTGCTATGCTATAGTCACTAGAACTTTATTTTGTTAAATATCATTGTATTTGTCAGTTTCTGATACCTAGGTGTAGATTAGAAGTTGGTGTTAACAGCATTGACTCTGTCACTTGGTTAATCGTATAGTTTTGTAACTCAATAGGCTCTTGTAATGAAATCTTAAAGTTAAGGTTTTTTAACTGTTTTAGATCATGTTTAAGAAAAAAACTGTCCATTGTATATAGTTATTTGTGATATGAGTTATTGTTAAAGCTATTTAGTTTAACTGAGTAATTCTAGCTTATAATAATATGTTTACCTAACGAGTCACACTTACAAGTAGTTTTATAATTATTTATTCTAAATGAAACATTTTGATTAATTTATTGTATGTTTTTAATATGGTGTACTGTTCTCCAATTGTTTTTAAGAAGCCAAAAAGCATGCCGAAACTCAAACCTAAAAAGAAAAAAATCAGGTTAGTGAATTTGTTTTCTTAGTTGTACGTACATGTATCTAGTATTGTATACTGACATACAGAACAAAAATATCTTATTAGTTTGGAGACAGTAGATAATTGATATTTATAAAAATAAAAAATAATGTTTTTCATAAAAATAAACTGATAATTTTACAGAGTTTATTACAATGTTCTATTTTCATGAAGTTAAATAAGACATAAAAGGTATTTCAGTTCTTACACTTGGATATATTGTAACAGATTAAGTTACTAGTATTCAAATAAAAGGGTTCCTTATTCCAACCTAGATGACATTTTGATATGAATGTATTGGTAATTAGGTAAAAAGGCATACTTTTAATGCTTTTGTATAACATGACTTTTATGAGTGTAAGGTAATAGGATTTTTATTGGTACAGAAAGATGGGATTTCTTTACAGTTTAAATGTACTGCTACAAATATAGCTTTAGTTCTAAAGAGTTTCAATGTCATTAGGCATATAAGGCAGTTATTTCTAACTGGAGAGAGATGGTTTTATAGTTTTTTAACAAAACCTGTTAACTTTGAATCAGTGTAAATATAGTCTTTAAAAAATATTACAAATTGTTTTTGTGTATGGATCTGTAAAAACCAAACAATTTCCTTTTGTTTTCAGGATATTAAATATTTCAGTAGGAGGTTTTTCAATACTTTCTTCATTTGTTTAATGTTCGTATGAGTTAAACCTTTATCCCATTC